GATTTTACATAATCTCTGTTTTTGTATTTTAAATATCTCAAACTGTCTGTACGTAGGAGATGCTGCTGCTAAGGAATAAACACATCCCCCATATCACTTTACAGCAAAACTGCAGTAGGGATGAACATGCTCTAAAAGGCTTTGATTGGGAAGAAAGTAACAACCATAATTTTTGCCTCTTGCAAAATATGTTAATGAACCTGAAGTCCCTGGGCCCCTGATGTTATTATATAGTTCTCAAATCAAGCTGCTTTACAAGTCATGCACCAATCTGAGGTTGTTTGAAGCTTGTGCACAAAACAAGATGAGAACTAAAATACTGTAGGACCGTGAGCACTTGTTGACTTCAGGGCTGGTTTAAGTCTGTGGGATCTGCGGGCGAGAGGAGCATCCGGCAGCTTTTCTGCTTCATTCAAGCATCAGCTACAGTATTGTTTCAACACACTTCCTCGGCTGGGGCTGATGAAGCCATTTGAGCACTCGTCTGGCTGGTACAACACTGACAGCATCTATAGAGGGCCACCAAGGCAAACTATTGCCTGGTGCATCACACAGCTAATCCCCTCCAGGCAGAGTAGGGGCTGACAGGGACACAGCTGGCGCTAACAAGGTACATGGCCTCGCTGTTCTTCCCCAAAGTGACATCTCCCTCTGACAGCTGACCATCCCTCTGGCCGAGCCCAGCCATGCAGGTTTTGTGCCCTGGGCAGGATTATCATCTTCTCTCTGAGACTGCCAGTCACCAGGTGGGAAAAGCAGCATGTCAAGTGGAGATGGGAGATAAAAGGTTTATTTTGCTAACCCTGGTAATCATCTCTAAACACAAAAAAGTTGGTCCCATCACTTTGCATCACTTTTGCTCTGCAAAACCCTTTGACATCCACAAGTCCCTGCAGGTTAATAAAAGAAATCGTGGAATTACTTATGAATTCAGCTCAAGACTACACTCAAAGAGTTACAGTTTCAAGGGACTCAAGAAATACAATGTAACCTCATAAGATACACATTGTAATTTTAAAGAAACATGAATGTGGTTGAGTGGATCAGAGTGGAAAAAGGGGTCTGGGGTAGTCCCTTATTCAACTTATATCCAGAATATGTCACAGATACAAATGAATACAGAAAGAAGAAAGACAAAACAAGATAAACAAGACTGTTATCTAAAAAATCCAAGATAGTTGAGAATATATTTTTGTGGCATGCATTTTGTGGCAGCATTTCTGGCATATTGAACTTACTCCAACACAAGCGCAAAGAGAAGGCCAGGTAAAGTAAAGCATGGCAAGCACCAGTTTCATTGTAAGGGCTGTAGAGAGTGTCATGCCTCACGTAGGAGGCTCCTTTCACATTATAGCCATGAAGGATGTACAGAGAAAAGGGGCATGTGTTGTGACTATAATACCAGTTTCTGCTGGCATGTTTATTTAATTAGAACAGCCTAAATTAAAGTTTGGCTGAGACAAAGCAAGAACATGTTTAATTGCTAAAATTTGGGCCCTCTTCCTCAAGATGCCTCATCCTTTAGAGGGCTCTATACCACAAAAAGCTTCTTTTCAAGTTTCCCAAGGATTTGCATACTGCATGACACTTCTCCATGTGCTGGAAATTTCAAAGTAATCTTGAAAAGCAATCACTTGTGTGGGCAGTATTTTGCTCCTAACAGGACTGACTAGCAATAACTAAAAGTTTACCTACCACACTAGCAGTTATCAATGACCTCCTGGCTCTACAAAGTGAGGCACCATAATAAAATTTCTCTCTTCAACATCAGCAGATAAGTGATACCTTTTAAATGCTGCTATAGTATTATAGTCTTCCCCCATAGGTAGCAGAAATAAAGTTACACAAAAAAATACTTGAAACTGAAATCACTGATGAAATTTCAGAGAGGTAGTAGAAGAGAGACTTCTCAATGTAAACACTTCTCCTCAGCCACTTTACCTACAAGTTTAGCTTTACAGCTAGTTAGCAATTGCAAAGTGTCATCTAGAATAATGACAGTCCTGGAAATACATAAGATGGAAACTTGATATCAGGTTGAAATCTGGCTCATGCTATATGAAGTCCGAGAGGTTTGCAGCAACAAGAGTTTGCTCTGCAAAGGTTTCCGTGGAACATCCTGTGAGACTTTCTAGGACTTAGTGAGTAGAAATAAAAACAAATGATTGTGTTTGTTTTGGGTTTTTTCATTCTGGGAACCCTTTATTCTCCAGTAATCTTTAGCACTAGGTCTATGTGTGTGTATATATATATATATAAATTTTTCTACAACCTGTGTTACACATAAAAGACATAGGAAAGACCTTATCACGTGAAAATTAAATTTCCCTAAAACAGACTTTATTCTGTGCACTTACTGCTGCACTCTAGCTGCAGGGAGGGATAAGGAGGAGTGAAAGCTACAAAATTTGGCATATGGCCATGCTCAGAAAATTAACAGTTTCTTATGGGATTTATCTAATCATTTATCTATTTACATAGACAGCATCCCGGTTATCCCTTAGCCCCCTCTGGAGAAACGCAGCTCACTCCAACGTGAAAAACACACGGAACAAACTCAAAAGTAAACAACTCAGGCAGTGCTGTGGTTTTAATTTGCAGAAGTTTTTTATAGGTTTTCCTAGGAAAGGAAAATGAGGTCTGAGAATTCTCCTGATAATTTTTACACCTCTCCAACCATTTTGAGAGAAGGAAAACTACTAAGACCTCCTGCACCCAAGGGGCCAAGGAGAGAAGACAATGTACTCAATTCCCTCAGAAGAGGCAATAGTCTGAGCTCATAGCTTTACAGGTACTAGGACCTGCCCACTGGAAGAAAGCAGTCTGTATTATCCTACTGGTCTCAGAAAAAATTGTAGCCTGAAAAAGTCATAGTCCAAATCAAAAAAGGGTTGGGACACAATTGCTATAGATGGTGAAGACATCAAGATGAAAGACCTGAAGACACTGTTGCACAGGGTGAAAAACTTGGAATGATGCAGAATAAAGTTCTTTACCTAGGACTTGCCAATGTCAACCAGGTCCCATGATCACAGAGTCTCCCAGGTGGGACACCTTAACAGTGGTCAGTCCTAGACAATTCAGAAAGACTATTTTTTCAGTTTCCTGTAGTCAAAAATCACTTTCAATATAAAGCAAGAAGGCTTAACACATACTTTGTAATGGGTTAAAGTTCAAATATTACAATTTTGCAAATCCTGTAATTCAAAGAGATGTTCCTGGACTCCATGACTTCTAATGGCAGTGCCAATTACCTACTCCTAAAGCAATTCCTATTATCAATTCCAGTTTCATTACATCTCTTGCTTCTGGGCTGTCAAGCAAAACAGAAGCTTATGATAAAGGTTCTCTGTGCTGCTCATCTTTTTATAGACTATTACATTTCCCTACCACACTCCAGAGTTTCTCATCCAATGAATGCTATAAAAGCTTTGCTATGAGCCAATAATTTTTATTGGTCTAGTTCTCTATTATCCTTTTCTAGATGACCAGCAGTGCCCACAGTATTTCAGGTACACTCACTGACCTGTATAACAGCTACAGATCTATAAAACATTATCAGATTTTCTTCATTGTTCTCTGTTCAGTTCCCACTGAAATCTAAAATAATTTTTGCCTGCAGGTTCTCATTGCTCCTTTTTTCGTGATGCTCATGAGTTAATGCATCAACTTAAACAGAAAAATGCATACGCAGTCCTTCTTCCCTCCAAGTGCTTCAGATTTTGAATATTAAGATTTATTTCCCATCCTCTGTCTTCATTTTTTCATTCCACAGAAGTTAAGTTTATGATTAAGTTCTGTCTGGTCTTTGCTGAGCTTGACTTAAGCTAGAAAAACTTAATGTCATCTGAAGATTTTGCTGTATCATTGCTCGTTCCTTTTTTCAGTTCACTAAGCAGCACCAGACCCAGCAAAAAAACCTTGCAGCACCCCTGCTGTTACCCTTTTGCTATGCTGAACATCGTTTCTTGTCCCTTAGCCAAAACCCCTTAACAAGCCTAGTTTGCATCTTTACCACCCTTCTCTCCCAAGGTTATACACCAAACTCCAGTCCTTCAAGTAAAACTCATGTGGATTTTCATGGTTATTTTGCTTGACAACAGGGTGCTTCCAAAATCAGGGAACAAAGATTGTTCTCACCAGAGGCAGTTAAATGGTACAGTGGCTATGGTTACGTGATTATCTCAGTTTATCTTATTTATAGATCTTTATGGATGTAGCTTCTTTGATGTGCCAAATTATAAATACAGTCCCACTAAAGGTTCCCACAGGTCAACCCAGCTCAGAGCATGCCTGAATTGAACTTTTCTGTATCTCCAAGCATGGATGCATACAGATGTATTTTTCTACCTGTACAAGGATGCAGTGACACTTTTTTATTGCTGCTCTTGTTATTCTATTAGTACTTCATGGCGAATGGGTTCACTTTCCAGTGATAAAGTAACACAATAAACAAAGTGCACAATGCTGTCATCCTTTCCACATCAAGTGAGGGAACCGGTTGTTTTGGCTTTTCTTAAAGGGTCATACTGAGGAAAACAGTTCCTGGAAAGCAAATTCCTGCTAACCAGTAGAGTGTTTGCGGTGCTTTAGAAAGAGTCAGGGTTTGCTGAGCTACCACCACGTCAACCAAACGTAACATTGCCACGGTACATGTTGCACCGGACTGACGTTCATCCAGTCCCCACAAATCGGGCTATGCAGGGAGCCGCGATCATACGTTAAAGTCTCTTATTTGCCCTTAAGCCGTGCCGCGGTCCCGCTTCGCGGGGGGAGGGGGAGGTGAGGAGCCCAGCTGGCTCTCCCTGTCCCTGTCTCTCTCCCGCGGGTGAAATTAGGCATTTGGCCCGGCGGGGGCGGGGGGTCCCACAGGAGGTGACTCCAGGAAGCGTTAATACACCTGCCACTCCCAGCGCGGTCCCTGCATTACCGGGCAGGAGGGGGTCGCGCCTCTACCGCCCCTTTCCCTTCCCCACCGCGGGTCCGCGGGCGATGCTCACCTTGAGGTATTCGTTCTCCGAGCGCAGCTCCTCCACCTCCCGCTGCAGCTCCTCCGGGGCCGCCGGCGGCGGCTCCGCGCGGCTGGGGGTTCGCCCCCCGCCCGGGGCCGCAGGCAGCGCATCCCCACGGGAGCTGGGGACCGGCGGAGCTCCGCGCCCGGGGCCGGCGCGGGGCGGCTCGGCGGCGGGATGCGCGGCGGGATGAGCGGCGGGCGGCTCCCGCTCGCGGTCGCTGGAGCCGGTGCCGGACTCGGCGTCGCTGCTGGCGGCCGGGGCCAGGCGCTGCTCGTCGGAGAGCGGCTCGGAGGGGCAGTCGGAGAGGTCTGAGCTGCTGTCCGTGTGGCCGACGCGGGCCAGCGCCGCTGCCACCGCATGGCCGCTGCCCGCCGCGGCGCCCCGCTTCGCCTTCCTGCCCTTGCCGGGCGGCGGGGCCACCTCGCCGCCGGGCTGCCG